AGTGATGTGCCTATGAAACTCAGAAAATGCAGGGTGTGACTGACCACAGCCTCTGCAAAGGCTGACTTTATCTCAACAAAAAGGGGACCAGAAAGTATTTGTTTTAGATAAATAGCTATGTCAGTTGAGTGGATCAACTGGTGGTGTAACTCTGAGTTCATTGAAAGAATGTGAACACCTCCCAGAGGTAGGCAGGCCAGTATTGGGGGGAGTGAATACAGCACTCTGCCTGACAATGAACTAAAGAATTTTGAAGACAACAGCAGGTTTGAACTGGCTTCAATCCATGTACTCCTTCCTGGTGACTGAGGATGCCTAGTGTCATGACAATGAGCATACTAGAGTGACCACATGGAGATCACATTGGTGTTGTCACACCAACTGCTGTATTCCAACTGCTCTATTGCTAAGACTAATATATCTGTATTGTGCTACCAGTGTATTTGTATCACTCTGCTAAATCAAAAGCCTCATGTACCATCAAATAGTATCAGATAAGTAAATTAGATATTAAACAGTATACCTTCCATATGTGAAATATCTCAAAGAACCTGGTCGGAGTACTCTGACACCAGCCTACACAGCCTATTTACACATATCTCCTGGTGGCTCTGCCCTTCCACATGCACAGCCCAGCTCACCTCAAGTTTGGCTTCATCATTGCCTGGTCTCAGCCTGCAAGGTAGCAGGAGACATGGAATGGTGCTGGTGCAAACTCTGGCCTCTATGGCACAGCAAAGGAGGAAGCTGGGATCCCTGCACATAAGGCGTGTGTAGCCATATGGGCCAATATGTTCATCTTCATTACTTCCTATTTTTATTTCCTCAAGGAGGGCATAAACTACACTTCATGCAGTTGCCAAAGAGGGATGAGCAATTCTTACTGAGCTGGGAGGGTGAAGGTGATTGGTTGGGTGGGTCACAAAAGAAGTCTTCCCAATCCCCTCCCACTCCTCAGGACACACTTCATACACTTTTAAGAGCTGCTGCACTGCAGGGCATTAGAGGATCTGCAGAAGTGTTGCTCACACAGCTGCTTCCAGAGCGTGACTGAAGCAACCAAACATCACGCAACTAGACTCATGCTGCCAGGCTCGCTAGCGGGCTCTGCATCTTTGCTGTGACTCCAGAAAACAATCCAGAGGTACCAGCAGAGAACATGCCATTTATCCATAGCCTTGTCATGTGTATCTATTTATTGGATACTATCACATGGTTTGTCCTATCCATGTGCTTCAATGGGGAATTAATTCTGCCAAGTACAATCTTCTCCTCTCAAATATACCAAGTTCAAACAAGTGACCTCAGTGCTGGCACAACAGAGCTGGCCTTTGAAGTACACATGAACATTATTAACTGACGGAAGCCAGCAGTACTATCCCTTGCAAGGGTGAGACAGAGAAGTGGTTCCCCTCAGTCTTACCACAGCACTACCTATGCAGAATGCTGAGAAAATACTGACAGGCAAGGGAATTCACACGTTCGGCATTAGCTTCTTCACTTTAAACACTGGATCATTATCACCACCTGGTCTCCCAGCCTTTGCATAAGCTGCTGCCCTTAGCAGAGAGAGAATTCATCTTCAGATAGGTCACAACTCACCTGGTTAACAATATGCTGGACTTCTGGAGTAGCAGGCTTGGTCTCAGATAAGCCCCCAGGCATCATAGTGGCAGGTAACTTCTCTGAAATGCTGGGTGGTTCTGAAGAGGGAAGTTTAGTGCAGCCTGAGCAGAGTCAGCAGGCATCTCGTATATATACATACACATGTGTCATGGAATCATATGACCTGTAACACATGGAGCCTACCATTACTGAACTGGAGAAGGAGACAAAGGGGGAAAAGGGGGGAAAAAAGCAACGCAAAACACTGATAATACCAAATGTAAGAACCACTTTAAAATCTTAAGTGTGTATAGGCTCCACGTCAATAAGAAAAGCAAAAAACAGCCCCCAGCTACCTGCATCTTAAGACAGTTGGTTTGGGCCACAGCTAGAACTTCTTGCCCCTCCACCCATGAGCAGGTGACTAGTTTCTGTGCTTAGGAAATGGATTAGTCACACCCAGTATTTCCCAACACCATTCAAGATCAGAAGAAAGCATGCAGTAATCTTACTGAAACTGTACTCTCTCAATATCCTTGCAAGGGAGAAACCGAAGCAGATAGCATTTTAGTTTTAGTGACTATGCTACCCTCTGCCTAACCAGAAAGGTGACAAGCTAAACACCAGAAACAGAAGGGGAAAAAATTAAATCCTACAATCAAGTACTGCAAATGAGTTATTTCTGCTTCTTTCACATCAAACCTATAGCTGCAATCATAATAACAACTGAATATGCAGTACTATTTACAGGTTTTTATGAAACTCTTGTGCCAACTTCCTAGCAGACAAAATATGATCCCTCTCACTACAGCAGTTGTGTGTGCACAATAGCTGCTCAAGGTATTTATATTTCACACAGAACTGAAATCTGTAGCATACAGTTACAGTCGAACATATGAGAGTCACATTCGTGACCATACGTGAACGTACAAAGCTCAAAACACACTCAATCTACTGCCGGCAACTGTTAGCAGCCCTACCTGGTAAGGAAGAACCAACACCTCAAGACCAGAGGAAAAAACTGCTCCTCTTTAGTATTCCTGACACCCCCCTCTCCAAGAAGTGGGAGGAATGCTGTTCCAGAGCTAGGACCAGAGAAGCAGCAAGAGATCAGGCAATCTTAGTCCCTAGGTGGGGGTACATGGGGGTATGTGCTGCACACAGGCAATGGACATTTCTGCTGGAATCAGCATTAGGGAATTTCCTAGAAACAAGCATGTTCATGGCCACAGCAATGGTGGCTGTGTAGCACAGACTTATCAGTGTCCTAACCAGGTTCCAAACACTCCTCAAATGACAACTGACGCAACAGACTGTAAACAAGTACTTCGTATCTAACTTCAAGGCTTGTTTTTGGTATAAAGGCCCCAGGATTGAGAAACTGGGGCTGTAGAGGACTTAAACTCCACAGTATATAGATCAGAGTAACAGCATGTTACCAATGAAGATGGTGCAGAACTTCCCAAACTCTGAACATCGGTGTTAGAGTCAGGAGAGTGGATGAAAGGCATTTGAGAAAAAACAGTTGTCCTGAGACAACGTCTTTCTGAACAAAAAGTGTTCCCAGTCCTTGCAAATGAAGGGAAGTGTTAAAACTGGGATTCTGCCACATTCTCCAAATTCACCGCTTGAGATCAGGAGTTCCTCAAAGTCCAGTCCAGGGAGTTAACAACAATTCAAGCTAATGAGCTCAAATGCCTTGTGTTGCATAAGACCCTGCTGATTCACTCAATGCTGATCATCTTCCAACATGTCACTATCATGCATCTTATTCACACAGCAGGACAGATAAGCCAACTAACTGGAAGAGCCAGCTCACCTTACTGAGGCCAGAAGCCATGGGGTGTTTCAACAACCACACGGCAACAGTGCTACACCAGGGTGTTTTATAAACCTCTCCATATCACTCTCCAGGGCGCAGATCTAACTGCCTTAGGAAGGGATGTTGATAAGATCCCCATGGCAGCACTACTTCCCTGGAGAACCACTGATTCTGATTAGTAGGCAATATACATGAGCACAAAGACTAAGAGAATTAAATTTTAATCCTCTAGGTGTGAAACCAAGAAAACATTGTCTGGAAATTATTCACTGGATTCTGTATTTCTGGGTTGGCTGGGTTTTGACTTCCAAGTGTAAGAACTTCTTTTTTTTTTCTTCCTGAATGCACACATTTGTGCAAAAGGGAAGGAAAAACAACACTGTCAGCAAGCTGATGCTAAAAATTACACAGGCAAACCTGTTTTCTATCCATGGGAATGCTAATGGACATCCCCCAAAATCCAGTGATATGTCTAAGATTTGCATGCAGTACTCATCCTGCACATGTAGTTCATGAAGTCACTCTGAAATCTTGATGTTTCAAAGACCTACTATCAAAGACGATCAGTGGCAATGGACATGCAAGGCAACCGCATCTACACCTCTCTCTAATTATTAAGTTTCGGATGTACCGAAACAGCATTTGGAACGCTGTTTTGAGAAGAACAGACATCCCCATTCCATCTCCTGCACAACATCGACAAGCCGGTGAGCGCATACACTTCGGTACTGGAGACCTGTTTGATGTTACATACCATTTCAGCTTACACTCACCACTGGCACAATGGCAGCTTCTCTTCACATAACTGTACTGCTCTTAACTTGGAAAATCTGTGCTGGGAGAACAGCACCTTATAGTTCTACAGCTGAGTAACATCTTGCACTATCCCAGTAATCAAGAAATAAATGTCTATAGCCTGCAGGCCACTATTCTCTGGTCTTGTATAAGCAATTTTAGGAAGCACAAGTTATAGGCAATAAAAATCTGAGTACAACACAAAGCAAACAAACCCCAAATCCCAGGGTTATGAATTTATGAGTTATTTTTAAACCAGAAATTAAGTCACCTCTGTAGGAATGATTGTGAAAGCTAAGCCAGTAGGTCAGTCTTCTGGTTTCACAGCGACAAGGCATGTAATTGTGACTGGATTAAATGACACACAGTCTGCACCATTTTAAGAGCTGCCAAAAGAAAGCAGCCCTCCATTCACCAACTGAAGATCTGTTTGTCATCATCACAGTAACAAGAGTCTTGACTTCTAATATGCTGCTCTGCAATAAAGGTCTCCCCTCCTGCTTCTCACACTGATTTCAGATTTCTGATGCTGTACATCAGGAAGGATTAATAGAAACCTGAACTTCAGCAGCACAAAATTGTAATATCCCAAAGACTCTGCTGAGCCTCTTGTACCAGTAAAGAGCCGCTTCCCCTCAGTCTGCTCCAAGACAACCAAATTCTATCCTTAAAAATGTTCTGTAAAGAGGTTACCTGTTTCATCAGTCTTCCATGCCTACAGGCTGCAGAAGACAACAGCGCTGAGTGCCAGAAAAAACACATCTCTCTATTTCACAGAAGGAAAAAAGCAGCTCACACTTGAGAGGACGTCCCAAGCAAACAGGATCTGCTCACCTGTATTTACCACGTCCAAACAATGCGAAAGCCCCAGCAGTGGGGCAAGCCACCTGCAGGAGATCTAGACTTTTGGCAGGGACATCAGTTGTGCCTTTACTTGCAGAAATAAAAGTTAGAACCAGGAAAAAGATGAAATCCTGGTATTTGTGGGGTGCATGATTTGATTCTCATATGACATCAAGCAGCCCAGTAATTTTGTGACTACCTTGATGGTACAGTTGAAGCAGGATTCAATCGCAGATTAAGCACGACCCTAGAATGGACAAGGGTCACTGAACAGAGATTTTACCTGCCTTTGTTTAGTGCAGCCCACAGGTCATACCAGTGCCATTAGCATACCATCACAAAACATCCCCCTTCGAAGGCAGATCTTAAATACTCAAAAAAAATAGCAAAGTCATTTTCTCCTTCCCTGTGCTCCAAAGCATGGCATGCAATTCCAGTAACTCACCTTAATGTTCCACTATGTTCAACAGCAAGACTCAAACAGCCTCTGATCCATGCGATTTGCCATGTACTGTAAGAGATATCCCTCTGTGCTCAGAGCAAACTAAAGAGAGTAATTCAACTTCTCAGTGCAAACCTCTGTATACATGCTGCAAACACCTGCAGAAGGGAGGTTTGGGACTTAGAACTTACGGTGTCAGAAGTTCTTCATATATAGGTTTGTATAGGTCTACTTGTTTGGCCTTATATTCAGATGAAAAACAGTGCTACATTAGGGTTGGTTTTTTTTGGTTGTTGGGGTTTTTCCCATCGTTTTCTCATAACAACTGCTAAACTGGGCTACTGAAAAAAGAGAAAAACAAATCTAGGTATGTATCACATCCATTCCACAGGTCATTTTTCACAGCATCTGCTTAAGTGAAGAATTTTTTCCACAACAGCTGAGCAAACATCTGGATGGGTAGAGGAGGACAGCGATTAATTCTCATTGCAGTCTCTAGTTTCTACAGAAATACAAGCATGAATTTCCAGAGTATTGATGCCAGCTGTCTATACACACTGGCAGAAGTTTCTATCATACAGCTGACTTAAAAGGAACATTTATCCTGCAGTTGTAGATCCAGGCCACGGACAGAACAAGTATTTTAGACACCTATATTAGAGGTCACTCTCAGGAGTACTGACTTTTTAATCAAAACTAACTGTTCTCAACATCTCATTACTGGACCATCTCCTGTGCAAATTAGGTTGGTAGCAATTCAGCCCACAGTTCTGAGCAGTATTTGCTTTCCACTTTGAGAATAAACACTTGTAAGAATTTATCAGTTGAAGAATAAACATGTTTTCTGCTTTCAGAGATGCAGAAAAACAATGAGGATACTTCGAGAGCGAGACTAGCACTTCAAATGGAGTAAAGTTCTGCTTAGAGCAGTTGCGGTACCTTGGGGGAAAAAGGGAAAAATAATGAAGTTTGAAAATTAGGATTTATAGCCTCAGAGACTTAAATTACATTTCTGCCCCATTCTCAAAGAAAAGTGAGACTTAATGTCTCTGCTGCCCAAAAATAAATGCCACCAAGTAGTTCGAGTCTCTTCTGGACAAGCAACTATAAACCAGATGATGCTGCACAGATTTTTGCCGGCTTTCCAGTAGCACAGGTACATTCCTCCATTTACTTCGCACCACCCCATATATACACAGCTTTTAGGGAAGTGGGAGTATACAGTAATTTTGGTACTGTTACTGAATTCCAAAGCATTTCTAAGATGGGGACTGTATTTTTAAGACTCTTCAAGTTAAAGGCTTCTTAAAGACTTAGTGCTAAGTAATAAAACCAGCTGGCAACCACATAGACCTTGTTATTTGACTGTCAGCCAGTTAGTTAGCAAAACATAAAGGTATAATTACAGCAATTCTGCCTTCTTCATACTTACCCGCTTTTAACAGCAGAGGTGTTGCACTAAAGCTTTCTAAATATACAGCTACAGTCAGAAGCAACAGGACCAGGTATGCGCAGCTATTTTGCCAGTTCAAATGCAATTCACCTATGGGATTACTTTCAAATTTCAGGAGGAGGGATAGCGAGCTGCCTCATTCCTGAATTGAGACTTATCTTCATCTCCACTCCAAAGTTCCCTATTTAAAGAAAAATTACAGAACTTGGGAATGCAGACCAAAGGCAGTATGTGACGCATGCTGCCTGTCAGCATTGTGGGAACACTGGCAAACCTGCATCCGCATGCAGCTCTGAACCAATGCTGCCGATGCTGAGTAGTTCAGAACAATGGTGACAGCTTCTTCCTTTCAGGGCTGCTGAACCTACGCTTGCTGATCATTCTGCAATGTGTCACTTCCTTTCAGATTTTAGTGTATTATTTGCACAAAGATACCATGTTCACTGATTAACAGGCACCCTGTCCTCCCTGCTCAGAGCTGGTTTTTACTGTTTCTTTCCCTCTAGGACTGTTGAAGCTGTAGAAGTGCAAGAAAGATGCCAGTTTTGCATTCCATTTGAAAATTATTTTAATACTATAAAATTCATTTGTTCACATATTTTGTACAAAAGATGAGTTGTTTTCTCTTAATTACAGGAGAATCATTTCATCTTGAACTTTCAGCTAAGTAGGTCCAAAACAAAACAAGACTGGGTTCTACTGGTTCTGTGGAGGGTCGCAACACAGCTCACCCAAGGTCTCTTTCCAGTTTGGCTCTCACGGTTATGGACCAACTTGATGGAAAATACCCCACATCATTGACTCTTCGGAGGCTTGTAGTGAATTCGGCAACGTTCATTAAATACCTGAGACACCAAAACAGAAGAGCAAAAGTGAATCAGCCCTCCTCCAGCAGATGAGAAAAACTTCAGGCAACTCCCTCTTCACTGAGCACCCATCTCAAGATACCCAGCCCTGCTGTACCAATAAATGGTACTTACCAAAGCATCTGTCTCCATTCACCTTCTCTCCTGGCTTTGGTGAATCCAAAGTTTGCAGCCTGATGCTGGGGGACTGCACAGCACTAAAGGTGTTCTCCCTCAGATAAGGCAGGCTCATAATCCTGGCAGTCTGTTGTCATCAAAGATGCTGATGCCTTTTTTCTTTTATTTTAAAAGAGGGAGGGGAAATCACCAGTGGAAGGCTACTGACCAGCTGTGTTCTGTTAAGTTCACTCTGGCATTCAAATCTGGATACTCTACTCTTCTCTTTCCTGAGCAAATGCATTTTACATTGCCACGACAGCTAAGAAGAGGTGCAAGGGCTCTTGGAAGGCACGTTCATACTGTTAGTTATCTGAGAGCAGGTGATGCTGCCTATGCAAAGGGCACACTGCTCTTGCCTCACTCACCTCTGCACCTTCTCTGAGTAAAATTTAGCACACAGAACTAGAGACTGAAGATCACATTTATTTAGCGTGAACTCTGGGCCTTGTCAAGCAGACTGCTTACCCTAACAAATGTGACTATTTAAAGTCAGGCAGTCTGAATCTAAAGTACAACACACAGGCTCACACCAAAGTTACAGGTGCTCTGTACAAGCAATTTAGTTGTTGTTTTGGCTCTGAACTTTGTCCAGCGCATGTCCTGAAAAGCGACACGAGCAGCACCTAACACCAAGCTGAGGCAGTTATCAGCTCCCCCACCAGGACTCCTGGTTTCCAAGGTATCCAGGCCTTTTCAGATCCAAATGCCTAGGACTGTCAGGAGATTAAGTTTCGTGAACTCTTCCACTGGCTTCACATGCAAAATGAGTGGGACAGTGACTTGGGGGAAGCTATGTATCACTTCATATAAATACATTCTTTTGAACAGTATCTTCCTAGCATCTTCTACAGCTGATGCCCCTCTTCAGAGTTCAGAACCTCTGGCAGCTTCAACAGAAGTGAAGTCTGGAGCATGCATCAGCTTTAGAATTGATTCTTAACAACTTCTGAGTCATTTTCAACTTGTTTTCAAATGTAATTTACATTAAGAAACAGACACGTATTACAAATGGCTTCATATTGCAGAAAAACAAAAGCTGTGATACAGTTTCTTTCACTCACACAGACAGCATGTCACATTATGTTACCACATGCAGTGGACACCTCTGGAACAGTGAAGAATATGCAGTGGTCTGAGATCAGTTAAGCAACAGAAGCAAACTGTAGAAATCAAGAGCCATAAAGGTTCTTATTCAGAAGCATGCAAATTCTTACTAAAATAAGCAAATTGCACCATTTTTGTCCATTGTCTATCAAAAGACATTTTAAGGGTCACTGGTCACATTTTAAGGGTCACTCTAAAAGACTGTAAGGGTCTCTTGCATCCAGCAGCACACCAGCTTGCTTGCTATCATGCAACCTTTGAAAGCTTTTTGAACAGTAACTCCGCAGCCTATGGAAGGAAGATCCATGCTACAATCCTACTAACACTGCCTCCTACTGTTAGGATCATTGACCCACAGATATCAGTGTGTTACCCAGGCCACTTAACTCCATTGGTCTCTCTGTGAAGAGCTATTCTCATTTTTCAGACAGGAAAGACAGTGCCTGAGAAACCTTAGCATTCATGTTACTACGTAGAAACTTGATTTTGATGTCTTTTACATAATACTATAATACACTTCAAGGATAAACTCCAATGGGGAGGTTATACCTCCCAGAGGTTGATGGAAGTATCTTGTTTTGGAAGCCAATTCCTTGTTTGGTATTAGCCAAACAGAATTCCACTGCATGCATCTCTATCCAGCAGCATCCTTCTGTATGCCACTTTTCGCTACAGCTACCCAGAGCGATGTTGGCAAATACCTCTTTCCTAGTCAGATTTTTCCAGTCACTTTTCAGTTGGTTAGGGTTAATGTAAATACGGAAGTGTACTTTCCAACTAGAAGTCTGCAACAGTAAAAAAGAGTGGAGGTCCTCACCTGCAAACCAATAAGCACTTCCATGCTACAAATAGCATTCGGTCCGCAACTATGACTGATTCTAATTCCTTCAGTGACATGCTTTTACAGGCACCTAAATGAGACATTTCTGCCTGTATTCAGAGGGAGACAAAAGTCCGTTTTGCATTTGGAGAGGAAAAGAGGTTCTCTATATAGTACTGAAAGCTCTGAAAAACTACAACAAACCAGAAGAGGATGCAAGGTGTGAAATGCTGCAGCGACAGAATAGAGCCACCTCAGAATTTAAGCTCAGTGCCAAGATCACTTTATAACAAGACAGCATCTGGGGCTATCAATCGAGAGGGTGATGTGCCCCCTCTGTTGACACATGAGAGCAACAGCAAGCCTGCCCTTTGCACCAGGGAGCTCCATCAGGAAAAGGTTCAACTTCCACAGCCCCCTCTTCCTCTGTCCTCTGCTCAGAAGCACCATCAATACCACACAGCCAAATCTGAAAGACTTATCTCTCTGACACTGTTGGAGGCCCAGCAAAGCTTTTCAGATAGGCCACCATGGAAAAGTCACTTAGCCACTGGGCAAGGAGGAGAAAGGGAGCTGCACAGGGAGTACTCCACAGTCCTTCCTCCCCCCTAAATCAGATGCTTTTCTTTCCTTTGCAGTGCAGAACATCATCACTATTTTAAATGATTGAGTACCTTCCAGCTTCTGTCGTTTACCACTTCTTCAACATTCAGTTCCGACTGCATCAATTTCAACTGCAAAAACAGATTAAAGAAGTGATTGTCAAACAGTAGACTGTAGTCTTCAATATTTACCACTATTGCAACTTTCTAGATCTGCAGCCTTGAGCTGTCATTCTTCCACACATGCATTGCTAGAGGAAGTTGGCAGCAAAGCTACGACTGAACACAGGTCTCAGAATCAGATTTAGAATTCAGATCATAAACAGATCCTCTCCGTTTCCTTTGCTGTCTCCGCTGTGTACTGACCAAAAAAGGGTCTACAAGAACAGATCATGTATGTTCATGATATATGAACAGTTAAGACGTTATGTGATCACAGAAGGACAAATCAGGTTTACACAGATGCAAAAGCTCCAGCAAGAGCTACCACAATATACAGTTCTTGAACACGCACTTACCATAAGAAATATAAGACTCCCTTTGATTTGCACCCATCAGGAAGCCCAACAGTTGTGTTCAGGTAACCTGCAGTAATTTGACCCTGCCATGAGGCCCTGAAGCAAGGGATTTAAGAACCATCTGCCTTTTTTTGCCTATAGTTCGGATGTATTTTTGTTGGAGTCTCAACAAACTAAGGATCAGTGTTTATCCATTTTAAACACATGGCTTCATTTAGAGGTCGTGACCAGATGCAAGCCAAGACAGAAATTCCATCAAAAACGTTCCAAGTAAGATGTCCAGACACACGCAACTACTAAAGCTGCTGGATGCACCTTTACCTACTCAACAGGACTTCAAATTGTTTGAAATAACCATCCAGAATCTACAGAGTGAATAGATGACCCAGATTAGTCCTTGTAAAAGAACCACTCAGAAGATCCTTAGCAGTTCAAAGAAAGGTTTTTCCTGCTGGTGCATGTCAGTAGATTTACAATCATCTTGACTGTAGCATTGTAGGGAAGAAGTTCTTTCCTGTTAGGGTGGTGAGGCAATGGAATGGGTTGCCCAGGGAAACTGTGAATACTCCATCCCTGGCAGTGTTCAAGGCCAGGTTGGACAGAGCCTTGGGTGGCATGGTTTAGTGTGAAGGGTCCCTGCCCCTGGCAGGGAGGTTGGAACTAGATGATCTTAAGGTCCTTTCCAGCCCAAACCATTCTGTGATTCTATGATTAACTGCCTTTGACACCAAGATTAAGCAAAAATATTTTAGCCTTTTCCTTAGAGTTGCAGAACTGAACAGCAATATAGTATCAATGAACATGGCTATACAGTGGAATTTGTTGTTGTTTTTAAAACATAATCTGATATTCTGTCCTGGGTTCAGCTGTAGCAGTTATTTTTCTCCTTCCTACTACCTGGTGCAGTGCTGTGCTTTCAACTTTAGCCTGAGAACAACACTGATAACACACCAACGTCTTATCTGTTGCTCAGTAGCACTTACCCCTATCAAGGACTTTTCAGTCCCTCATGCTCTGCCAGTGAAGAAGGGCACAAGAAGCCAGGGGGAAGCAGAGACAGGACACCTGACCCAAACTAGCCAAATGGGTATTCCATAGCACAGCACGTCATGCCCAGTATAGAAACTGGGGGGAGTCACCCAGAAGGCCCAGATCACTGCTTGCATCAGGCTGGTTATCGGTCGGCAGATGGTGAGCAATTGTATTGTGCATCACTTGTGTTTATGGTTTTCTTTTCCTTAATTCCCCTTTCAGTTTTATATTCTCTCCCCTTGTTATTTCCCTTATCATTATTATTGGTGATAGCAGTAGTGGTTTTGTGTTATACCTTAGTTACTGGACTGTTCTTATCTCAACCTGTGGGATTCACATTCTTTTGCTCTCCTCCCCATCCCCAAGGGAGCATGGGATAAGAAGGATGGGAGTGAGCAAGCTGCGTGGTTCTAAATTACTGGCTGGGCTTAAACCACGACATGTTTTGACAAGCTTTACTAATTCACTTGCTAAAGCTGTTAATCATTATGCTGTATGGTTTGGATTTCCAGGATTTATTTGGTTGGCTATTTTCTGATAATTCGTTTCAGTAAACTAAGACAATAACAAATTAATACAATAATCAAATGGCGTTTCGATGTAAGTAGATTAAAAGATTTAACTGCTAGACTGGCACTACTCCAAGTTTTCTTATTCAGTGACCCAGAAGTAAAAATTTTGGATAAAATCCTCCAATTTGTACCATTAGCAGGATGAGAGAAATATAAATGAGAAAGCAGATCTGTATTGCAACCAAGTGAATATATATTTGAAATGCATAATCTTAAATGTAGGATTTGTTCTGTCAAGACAGCTTTCTGGAGTTGTAGAGAAAACACCACTCTCAGAGAACTAAAAAATCCAAAAAGGGGGTGGGGGAGATGCACTTCATAAAGAAAAAATTTGAGGTCATCTCATCAAAAGCTTTCTGGGATGTTTCCAAATCATGGATTGCTTTTAATATTTGAAATCACCTTCAACTGTTCAACATTATCATTGCAATACTCCCAGTGGTTTCAGTGATAGGTTCTGGGCTCAGTAACCAAATGATTTGAGAAACTGGCTCTGCAAACAACATTTGAAGAAAATACTAATTCCAAACTAGTATGGATGCTTATTAGCAGTTCCCTAAGTGAGGCTTTAAGAACAAAAGCACTCACCTGCCACCTGGTTCTTAAATCTGAGCTCACGACAGAGCACTTCTCTGAAGAGCACAAGAACAAACATTTCGTTCACTCAGTGCCTGGGAAAAATCAGATGCTTGAGTTCAAATCATCCCCTCAGGAAGTTCTTTTACTACAGCTGCGTCAGCATCCAACTGCTCTTTGAAAGCAGGGGCTACAAGTGGCTCCTCTTGGAGGTAGAGGGATAACAGGGGAGGTTCAGGTTAGATATAAGGAAGAAGTTCTTTACTGTGAGGGTGGTGAGGCACTGGCACAGGCTGCCCAAGGAAGTGGTAAATGCTCCATCCCTGGCAGTGTTCAAGGCCACAGAGGACAGAGCCTTGGGTAATATGGTCTTGTGTGAGGTGTCTCTGTCCATGGCAGGGGATTGGAACTGGATGAGCTTAAGGTCCTTTCCAACCCAAACCATTCTGTGATTCTATGAGGTAGTTCAGCACCACAACAGCAAAATTTTAGGACTGGTCTCTTCAATTCTTTAATTGCTGCAGCAGAGAAAGCCACACTCAGCATATAGGACCATATATACGTATACGTGATGGTGGGATATCTGGCTGTTATGAGAAGAACTCACCCTTGTATTGGAAACCCTGGTTATGACAGTCCTCAGCAGAGGAAGGCTCACTAAACTGCTGAACATAACACACACCTAGCCAGTGTAAGCAAAAAATAAAAAAGCAATAAGCAAGCAGTCTTGTTATGTGATGCAAGCACATGAGCCATACAGAGCAGGTCTGGAAGAGAAATCAACTGAACAGTTCACATCCCAGCTAATCTCCACTCCTAGTACATATGCAGTACCTTTTTGCCTACAAAGGAGAGCCTGGAACAGGGGCAAGAGAGTGGGGTTCCCTTCTCCACTTCTGATGCTCCATCTAGATCACCTCTCGTGTAAGTGTACTTACACTTTCCATCCAGAGGCCAGAAGGTTGAGAAGGTGTTTGCACGTTAAAATTCCCTATGCAAACCCAGAAATCACTCTCACACCATCACAAGGTACTCATAAAATTAATCAAAGAAATACTAAAGAATGACAAAGTCACTTAAGTGGAATTCAAAGTTGCCTGAAAGCTCCTCTTAGAGGACAGGAATTCCACTTAATACACCAAGTAAAGATGATGCTTCTAAGGGTGACAGCTTCAAGGCTGAATAACTGTGTGGTGCAAGAGTCATACATGAAAGCTATATTTCATTATCTTCTGGTGTTTGCATCTTAGCACCCATACTTGCTGTTTGCAGATATACTAGTTTTACAAGATCTCAAATGTCAAAATGAGCCTTCAGGCATTTTAAAAGGACTAAGCAAGCCACAGGTAAGTTATATGCTAAGTGGTGTTAGCCAGTGAAGGTTAGAGCCCACCACGGGGAAGCACATAAGTTTTTTCTATGGCATTTCTGTAACACGATCTCAGAAAATGCTCCACTTGCAGGATAAAAGCAGCTCTCTCCTGAGGGCTAGGGGAAACAGTTCTCATATACCCAGCCAGCAAGAACCTTAGAAAAGACTGCCCAAGCCAGAATCCACTTCAGGTTCTCTCCATCACACTTTCCGTTTGGGAAAGATCAACTCTTTTTCCTCTCTAAGTAATCTCTACAAAGCTCCACCACTCACCTTTGTCTGCTCTTTCCTGAGTTGCTTTAATAACGCTGCATCATCCTGGGCCTTTTCCCTCTCTTCTCTGAGAGTTTTCACTACATTGGAAGTCTGAGCAATGCAGTTTTTGATGATTCTCTCCCTGCTGGTATGAGCATCCATCAGCTAAGTGGGGAGAGAAAGAAAGTCACAACAACTCGGCAGATAATAAAATTACTCCGATTTACAAGTTAAAAGAAAGACTCTCTAAAGTCAAGGCACTGCTGTGCCTATAGAAAACCTCTGATTCTACATTAGAAGTAACACTGCTTTTAGTAACAGGTAACAAGTTGATCAAAAGTCAAAGATACACATGAGCAGGAGTCTTGCAAAGGAAGAAGTGGACAGGGCTAATACCATCCACTGAGGCCTGAAGTGCACCTCAAGTATCACTGCTGCAGAACAACAGATTTCCCTACGCGGTTTTAAACTGCAGTAACTGTTACATGCATGCACTTTAGATGCATAGAGAAGCCAAGCATGCCGATTACAGGTATATAAAGCACTGGTGAGGCTGCACCTCGAATCCTGTGTTCAGTTCTGGGCTCCTCACTACAAGAGAGGCATTGAGGTGCTGGAGATGGGCCAGAGAAGGGCAATAGAGCTGATGCAAGGCCTGGAGCACAAGTGTGATGAGGAACGGCTGAGGGACCTGGGGGGTTTAGTCTGGAAAAGAGAAGACTCAGGGGACCTTATTGCTCTCTACAGTTACCTGACAGGAGGTTATGGAGTGAGGTGGGGTTGGTCTCTTCTCCCAAGGAACAAGTGATAGAACAAGAGGAAACGGCCTCAAGCTGTGCCAGGGGAGGTTTAGACTGGAGATGAGGATCAACTCCTTCCCCAAAGGGTGCTCAGGCATTGGAACAGGCTGCCCAGGGCAGTGCTGGAGTCACCGTCCTTGGAAGTGTTCACACACGGTGTAGACGAGGCCCTCAGTGACACTAGAGGATGGACTAAATGGTGGAATTGGCAGTCCTAGGGTTGGACTTGATGATCTTAAAGGTCTTTTCCAACCTAGTTAATTCTGTGATTCTAATATATCAAGGTAGTGGTTTCAATAGAGACTGGGGATGCTTTACTAGCCTATGCATGTAAAACATCCATAAGAGGACAAAGAGTCAAAGGAGAGCACACTCACAGACTGATACAGCTCTTTACATGTCTGGCTGGCATCAATCTTCCCCACAAAGGAAGCTGTTGGAATCGTAGTGTTTAATTCGTGGATAATTCTGTCATCGATCGTCCTCATCACCCTGAGAAACTCCTGTATTTAAACAAATAATAATCATATTTGCTCAAATACCTGAGAAAAACCTACTACAAAAACCGTGCCTTAGAAAACTGAGTGGATTGCTTACAAACAGCAACAAAAAGCCCTCACCAAACGCACATATGAAGTACATGCATACAGCGTATGCAGCAGTATGTGCTGCAAACCAACTGGTCTCCTCAGCAGCAAAGGCCAGAGGGGAGACAGAGCTGGTGAGCGCCAAGTAGCGAGCAGCCCCCGGTCTCCCTCTGGTAACCCACCCGCAGAGCCGCTGCCCAAGGCCCCATCGCCACCGATCCACGCTTCCAGACGGGAAAGTGGGCACAACCTGCACCAAACCTCGAACTAAACAAAGGAAACACCTTCATTAGGATACGGCATTTAAGGAACAGGCCAGCGATCACCGCTGCCGCCCCGGACACTGCTCGCACCTCACGCGGGACGCTTCGCTCTCCATTAAACAACGTGCGGGCGCGCACGGAGGCTCCACGCCCCGTCCCGTCCCGGGGTCCCCTCTCGGGAGGCGGGTTTCCCTGCACCGCTCTCCCGCCGCCGGGGTAACCGGAAGGCCAGGCCGGACCAGGCTGGGCTGGGCCGGGTCCCCCTCTCCGCCGCCGCATCTCGCCCGTGGCGGGGAGTGGTGACCTCGCCGCCCCCCCAGCGGGGTGCGCGTTCCCTCAGGGCCGCACACGGCGTTGCCCGGAGGCGGCGGCAGCGCGGCGATGCAGCGGGAGCGCCCTTGCTCACCGCCAGCACCCCCCGCACAGCCCGGCGCGGGTTACCTGGAACTCGGCGAAGTCCTCACAGGTCCCCGCTCCGCCGGGCGCCGCCATACTGGAAACGCCGTCGGCCGCGGCGCCAGCCAATCCAGCAGCGAGGCGGGATGACGCGAGAGGGGCGTGCCCTGCCGAAGGGAGCTGCCCCCGGCCGGGCATCGATAGCGGTGCCGTAGGGCGGCTTCGCGTTGCGGTGCGTTCGCCTTCGCTTCTCCGGTGCCGGCCCAGCAGGGACACTGAGGAGCGCCGGGGCCGCGGCGGTGAGTGCCTGCCCCGCGGGGCTCGGGGGCCGTCAGCGGTGTTGTCAGCCCGGGGATGCCGGGCCCTGTGCGGTGGGGAGCGGGGATCGCCCGGGCGGCCCCGGCCCAGTTGCAGGTGGTGCGGCGGGGGAAGAAGCGAAACGAAGGGAAGCTGTGGCGACTGCATGTGGGGCTGGCAGCCCCCCAACTGACTGAAGAACATGAAAGGAATGGATTTGCACCTTTCCTTTCTTCTCTGGAGAGCTTGGAAAGGGTTTGGTTGGGGCTGTCCGCCTCTAAACGTCAACTTTGCAGGGGTGGAATGTATTGTACATAAAAAATGAAGGGCGGCTCTTTTTCATGGGAGAGGCATTTTCAGCTGCCATAAAGAAGACTAAGTTTCTATGTTTAGAAATGCTCTTTCGTCTTTCAAAGTTGGGGTGGGTTTTGTAGTTCCATTCTTCCATTTAAAAGATAATATTCTTTCTACTATACTGATTTGGCCTCTGCTTTCTCTTCCAGGTGGGGCTATTGACCTTCTGGGGAGAAATATTCCCTCAATCCTGAGAAAGACTAAAGGAATGGATCCAAATATAAGCAGAAGGCTTTGCATTAAACCCCATGAAGAAGGTCAGCATCAGCCAAAAAGTAAGAGTTTTTGGTAATAATCATGCTATGTTTCATGATACAACATACTTAGATATCCAGGCTGCAGTCATCTCATCAGGAATTGTACTGGCATAGATGCTAATATCCCTGTTTTTTTTGAGAGGGAATTCTGATCTTTAGACTGAAAAACTTGAGTGTTAAATTTAGCAATAAAACCTTGGGTTTAAACAAAGCCAGGGATCAGTATTTCTGCTTCTGAGAACACAGTTTTTGCTTTGTAGCAGGTCACTAGTATCTTATTTGGTGTGCAGTCCTGCATTAAGGCTCTTCCGTTGTGCTGTAGAACGGACTCTTCAACCTGAGGTAAACTGTTACTGTTCAGGAACATCACATGAACTAAAATACTTCTGCAGTTGTTCGTAGTACAACCAGCTCCTGCTGTTCAAAAAAATTGTGCCTGCCCTGCAGGAGTCAGTCTGAATCATGGGCTTGGCTCATTTGCAAGGGTGGAGCTGGTCAGATAAAGCTCAAGCCATTAAACATTTTTTCCCTATGTATGGGACAGTTCTGATACTCTAATCAGACTTCTTGTAAAACAGGCTCCCTTCAGGGTCTGCTGACGCTGGATAAAAGCATCATACAGGTCTGAAGCATTTTGCATATTTCTATGTTAAAAACATAATGCAACTGTACTGGGTAAGACCAGAGGTCTCCTCAGCAGTGTGATGTCTCCGGCAGTGGTCAGTAAAGGAGATCACTTGCATTTTTGTGAAGACTAACAGGAATGGTGAGCAATAGCAAGGACCTAAGGAGGACTATTGGAAGAGGGCAGTGTTTCACCCCTGGACTACTGTCCCAGAGGTGGCATTTTTGTGTTTAATGGTCCTTACTGCATTTTTTTTTTCATAAATCTGCCCATTCTCCTTAAGCAAGATGTATTTTTAACATCCACATTCTCTGAGAAGGAATTCCTCAGCTGAACTGTGCTGTGAGAAAACACATGTAATCATGTATCTGTTTTTTAAACCCAATGTGTGCTTTTTCCAATGTGAAGTTCCCTTATTCAGTACCCCTTCCAAAAAGGGTCCTGGTTATTATAACTCGTGCTGTTAATGTCATTTAAGATTCTGGTGCCCTCTGTTGTGCTGAAAGGAGCTTCAATTACAGCTTGTCCAAGCCAAACAGTCTTGTTCTATGATACAGCTTCTTACATGGTGGCCATTCCCTACCTGTGGTCCTCCCCAGTTTTCTTTGTGCCAGTTCTATTTCAACTGTTTCTGAGATGAGGGATTTGTACTTGACATGCTTTTCAAATGCTGCAGTTGAGGTTTTATACAATGGCATATTACTGCTTTTGGATTTGCCTGTGTTCCTAATCATTGCTAGTAATGCCATTTCCCTTTCTATTACTGAACACTATGCCAAAAACTCTATGAAACCCTGAGGACTTGCTCCTCAGCAATAATGGTTAGGTTAGAGTCTGTCCTTTGTGTGTCAGCTGGAATTGCTTCCTGTTTATACTCACGGGCTTTCTTTCACGGGCCAGCTCATTGACTCGGGATTCCAAAGCCCTGCAGCTCTCTGCGTGTAACACTCTTCTTTCTGGTTTTGAGTAACTCAGTGCTGTCAGCAAACTATATCCACCCTACTTCCCAGATAATTTATGAAGCCATGAGGCAGCATGCATCCATTCGGAATACCTCCCATTGTTAAAAAAAACCCAACCTGTCCATCTTTGCACTTTGTTTGCTAGATTTTAGTGTCTTATGCATGGAAACTTTCCCCTAGTATGAGTATTTATATATGGAGTTTGAAAAACTGAGCTGAAAATTAAGGGTCTAATCTCTGTTTATGGTTATGTTTGTTTATGCCTCCAGATAAGATAAAATCTTACACTGCCTGGAAAAGTTAACATTCTGTGATGTAACAGTGCAGCATATTTGCTTCTCTGTAGCAGTTCCATTTGGTTTATTCCTGTTTTTTTAAACTAATATAATGGGAAAACTATCACAGCACTTTCGGAAGCTTAGATGTTGGAGTAGGTTATGCAAATTTAAGGATACAAATATTGAAGTCTTAGACAAGATCTGGCTTTCCTTACATGGCCTCAGTTTAATCCCTATGTACAAGTTTGTTAATCTGATTCTGATAGACTTCTTGTCCCCTAACCAACTCTAGCAATCACACTTCTGCATTGCTCACCCTAACTGGTTTCATTACAGCTGTGGCAATTCAGCTTCTCTGAGTATTGGTTTTAGTGGTGTTTTGGCTTTGTCTGTGCTTTTTGTTAGGGTTCTTTTAGGTCGGTCTACTTCGAGGGTGCCTGGACACAAGCCTACAGACTGGGACAAAAGATTTTTGTTGTGGGCAGGCCATTTCAAAAAAACAGAGGATATACCAGAGACTGTCTCGTAAGTGCCAGTTTTAAAGCTGTAAAAGAGACATTGTCCATGCAGAAATGTTACTTGAATGCAACTCCACCATAACTTTTTCTTAAATGGTATGGGTTTTCAAAGCTAAAAAAATCTTACACTGCTGTGTTTGGTTTATTGTCTTGTAGATGAGGTGACCTGAGCAATTCTGCATTACTGAGATAATCTACCCCTTTGGATTTCTTTTTTCCTGAAAGCATGACCAGCATTTATCACTTGTTTCACTAGAACATCACAATCAGCAAATTCTTACTCTTCTCTCCCAATCCAAAAAGCTTTTTGCAAATACTAGTGAGGTTTTTCTAGTGTTTTAATTCCTACATCAGTCTCCCCTTGTGCAAAACTTTCATGATATACCTATAAAATAACTGAAACTCATTTAAAATCTTTATTAGTGAACATCTAGAGCGCATGGGCCAGCTTTGTTCACTTGTGGAATTTAAACTAACCAACAGTGGAAAGGCTCCCTAACAAAAAATATGTATAGTCCAAATTTCCCTGTTGCTGTGGAGCTGTGTCAATGCTTTGCCCTGTGTGGAAAGCAGAAAATAAACGTGGATGTTCTAGTCTGCTTACCTGAAATGAAGATCAAACTTAACAACAGGCAATTATTAGCTTAAAAAGTATTTCTGGTGGTAGTATAGTTACCTTTTAAAACATGCTTGTAATGCTTTTAAATATCTGTATGTATTTAAATTTAAAAGATACAGTAAATCACTATAGCTGTCCTCTAAGGATACTCTGTTTGTATGCACCCTATGGGAACTGAAAATCTACCCATGTGTCTGTTTTTTTGTAAGTGTATCACACTGGACAAATATTGTTAAAAATTAATCCTTCCATTTTGTACTGAGGCACTTTTCTTAAAATTACATTTGAAATACATAGAGGCATAAATTATTACAATTTATGCTATTGCCCGTTCATCTGGTTTTGCCCCCCAAAGATTTGTTATGAGAGTTTTTAAGAAAACAGCAGAGTGATTGAAAGTCATTTTCAGTGGTTTCTTGAAAGGACAAACCAAGTTTGGATAAAAGCTGACTATTTTTGCAAGTGCTTAGGGAATTCTTGTTTTCCTTTAGGCAAATAGTTCAGCCAAAGCTGAGGAGGCAACTAAGAACTAGAAAAGCACAAAAGCTTTCTTTCCCATTCTGAACTAAAAGTGGATTGTAAGAGCTTGTGATAGAACTTGGGAGTCTTGCAGGAAATAACTCATTTATTAAACAAATGTTAATCTTAGCCACTGAATTGATTTAAAATGCAAATCGAAGTCAGATAGCTACCTTTTTCTCTTGTATATTCTAACACATCTAAGATACTTCAAAAAGTAACTTAAGAAAGCTTTTAAATCCTACTTCTGTGCATTCCAGCTTCATTGCTTCCTCTGCCTGATTTGTTCATGGCAGATTGTTAGCTAAACCAACATGGAAGCTAAATTTAACTCTTAGTTTCATGGTAGATGGGCATGTTCCCTGTCATCAGAAATCTTGTATCAGTACTTTGGAGCAGTGATCACATCATTCTTGCTCTCCTCTTCAAAAACAAGAACAAAACTCTCTTCAGTTCTCAGGTCCTCTGTGATTTACCATGTTGAACTATCATGGATACTTCAGTAGCTTTTTTCCTTCAAGTATAAGGTTCAAAATACGGTAAATTATTCCATATTCACTCATGTTAGTTTTGGTGTATATAGTTACCTAATTTGATGCATTTATCACATTATGTTGATGCTTTTCTACTCCATAATTTTATAATATGCTAAATTTAATCCATGAGAACATCAGATCTCCTTGAGAAGGGAGTCAACTGCTCTAAATTCTGCTAGGAGAATTAATCATATAAGGTATAGGTCCTTGGTTATTATGGAGAGCACATCTAAAACCTTTATGCTTCACTGGCCCTTCTTGCATTGGTATTTCTAAGAGGAACTTTAAATTTGACTGAGCCACCATTTGGGTAGAATTATCTTTAGAGTTTAACCCAACTTAAAATAACTGATATTTTTGTTTTAACTCATCACATGTACATTTGAAAGCTTTAATAACAGAAACACTTCTTGTGGAAGGTTTTTGAAAAATAACAGCAAACTAGGCAACAGGTTTTTCCCAAAGTAGTAGGATAGCTACTGGTGTGGCTATTAATCCCCCTGAAATTAAAAGATTTAAAGGAATTCAAAGCCTGCTGTTGGAAGGCTTTCAATCCTCCATGCCTCCTTAGCTTCTCAGGAAAACAGATTACCTTCACACTCTTTAGTCTGGCAGGAGGGAAGTGGTAACTACTGGTCTTTTCCCAAGTCCTAGTCCGAATTCCTCAGGAGCGTTTCATTCAGCAGCCAGTGTGTATCTGTAGTAGTATCAAATCCCATAGTGGAGGAAGCCTTCTTGCTGGAAAACAGACTGCATCATAAATAAAATGATTCTGAAGCTCAGGCTTACTAAGCTGTGATAATGCTTCCCCCTGCCCAAGATGCTCCAACTGCTAGACACTATTTTATTCCTGGTGACAAATGTTTTTTACCCTGCTTCTGCTGCTGAGGGAAAATGCATGTTTTACAATGCTAAATACACCACAGTCCTAATACAGGTGCAGTGCTCCCCAGCTTTGCTGATCCTGGAATGTGGTAGTCAGCGGAGAGGGACCTGACATTAAGAAAAACATCATATTAGTAAAACCATCCCTCTCTCTTTCCTGTCATCTCCATAGTGAATGTGCATACTTAAATACTGCAGCCTTCCTCCTTTTCCAGATCACTTGGCTGCAATGCAAAGCAATATTGTCTCTTAACAAATAACCATTAGCCAAAGGATTTATTTGTGTCTCTGGTAATGAGTGTGTCTGTTCTTTTATTTCTTGAGGATTGATACAATCAGAGCAGCAAAGACCACACGGCATGTGAAGCTCAGCTATGTGATGATTGCCTTGACAATAGTGAGATGCATAATCATGGTGATTAGAGGAAAGCAGGTAAGCACAATTTTTGGCTGGTGAGCGCAAATCAGTCTTGACATAAACTCCTCAGTTCCTCCTGTGGAGTGTTAGCACTGTTTTGGTTTGGGGTTTGTTGGTTTAATTCTATCACTGATCAAAACTATGTCTTCCCAGTTCCCCAGAAGTGACCCTCATTGATTAATTCCCAAGTCACAAAAGGGTGATGTCACTGTTAAGAATGCATATGCTTCCTTTAAAAGGAGAAAAAAGTCTTTTTTTCTCAATGATTGCATTGTTTTAACTCCTTGATTTTGCTGATGGCCTGCAAGAAGTCAAAAGGAAAGAGCACCTTCTGTTGTGAGGATCTGGTGGGCAGGTAAAGGCTCCTTGGGCCAATGGGGTCCATATAGTGACTGTATGGACCTATTACAAATGCCTCTCTACACACTGCAACACTCACATACTCAATTATAATGGAAATAGCAGATGAGTATGTTTCTCCAAAGACAAGACATGAGAATATTCAAAAGTATTTTTAAACAGTGAAGAGATGGTAATTCTGTACCCTTTAATTGCATTAGAAAATAGTTTTACTTTAGCGTGGATGGAACAAGTTCTCAAATTATTAATGACTGTTGAATCAGAACACTACTTCATAGAAAAGTTCCCAAATCCTGAAGGTACTGACATCCTTCACTTGCATAGAATCTGGCAAGGTATCCAAGCTCAACATGTGGCAGAACTAGGTCTATGATTTAATTTGCATCATATTAAGAGAGTGAGTATAAAGTCTAAAATTCCACGTGCAGCAAAGGCTAGTAATGCTTTAATTTTATACGTTTTCAACACAGTTGGTGAACTATTAACTTTGAGGTATTTCTGCAAAGAAGCAAGGAACATTTTTTTGTGCACTGAAGCCAAGCTAAAGCTTCTCAGCAGCATTAGAATTCAAGTCAAGGAATGCAAATATAATCTGTGCACCTTATTGTCAAGTTACTTTGGATAAAAAACACAGTGGTAACAGAAACAGAGTCCACTACATTCTTTTACAGATGACGGAAAGCAGAAACCCCTCAGCTTAAAGCATCTACATGGGCAGAACCTTAGTTGTGTGCTGCCTTTCTCTGAGGCAGTTCTGAATAACAGTGTTGATTTTCTTTCTATAGCCTAAGTGTTATAGAGAAACCTTAAAACTAGGAAGAAGCCTCTCAAACCCAGCACTGTGAACTACTGAAGTGTCAAATGACATTTCTGTCAGCATTTGCCTATCAAAATGAAAAGGATGCAGCACTCTGAAACGTAACAATGGAAAGGTTTTTTACCATAAGAGACTGAACACTGACAGTTCCCAGAACATTTTCCTCTTATACTGGGGTAGTATGAATGCAAACACTGGAAAGAGAAGAGGACAGCTGCTCTGGGATCCTTGTTTTCACAGCAGCAGGAATCTATTATGTTTCATTTTTGATTTGTTTCCAGTACCTCTGACTTCTGAAGACCAGAGTATTAAACACTGACCATATATATTTTAGTGCCTTAACAAAAGGCACATTTAGGCACATTTATTCCTAGAGAAGTAATGGGTTTAAGCCAAAATAGTCTCTTTCTTTTAACCCTTTCCCACCTGGCATTAAAGCTGACAACTGTGCCTTGAAAAGGATAGGCCAGGTATTGTGTGAACTGTTGATTCATGTTTTGTACCTGGGGTCCTTCAGGTAATACCTGCTCTTGCTTTGTCATTATGTTGTAGGCTGTAAAAAGGCATCAAACTCTTACAAGCATAAACTTGGAAAAGAAAGCACAATGGAGAGAAGAAGCTACTCAGAGCACATCTGCTAAACCTTAAAGGAGGGGATGAAGAGACCACGTACTGGAGAAGAAAAGCTGTCCCTCTTGGCACTGGAAGAACATAGTCACATCTTTCATGTATGTTACTTCTGTACTCTCATGTTCAAGAAAATTAATACATTATCCTGTAATCATTAAAACCAGAAATACTTCACTTTTCCTAGCAACCTCCCCTTGCCTCCAAACTCTCTTCTTCATGGTCAGTGGGACAGGACAGGTGAACAAACTGGACAGACAGGTGTTTCCCACATGTGCTATGCACTCTTACCACTTATGAGAAGATAACTGGGACAGAAAAGGATACCCCCTTCGGTTTTGACTTGTGCATCCATACTTGTAAAAATGAAATAACCTTCACTGGGCAGTCATTAACGCTCACTTTCAGGTGCCTTGAGGAAGAATGGTGCTAGATGTATTCTAAGTTGTTACTGGGTGCTTCAGATATTCCATACGTTCCTCTTTGTGCAAGAGAGAACAATTATTTAGAAAGCCCTTGAGTCAAGAATTGCATGACCTGCATCAACATTATCAAAACAATCATAAGTTATTAGAAAGTCTGCTTACCTGCTCTAGGTCCAATATATTCAGGCTGCATTTGTTTAAGTGAAGGATTACTTTTTGTGAAGAACTGCTTCCTTTGATAAAAAGAGGAGGGAGATTGATAGTGAAATGGCATTCCAGAGAACCAGTGTATTACAGATGACAACCTTTTACACCAGAGCTGGTAGTGAGGGAGAATGTCCAAGCAAAGGCAACAGACATAACTATTTTTAGGAATATGAAGCAACAGCTTCAACCAGTGCTATCAGATTTACTGTTCAGAGGCACGTGAGTATGGGAAAGTCAGGCACTCCTGCTCTCTGCTGCAGAGCAACTTTTTGCCAAACCTTATTTAGATTTATTTGCATTTTTTCCCCTTTAAATCATGATCTCTGCTTTCACAGTAGCCCACTTAAAGATCATCTGCCACAAGTTTTAGAAGCAGCAGACCCTGAAACACCTACAAAGAACAACTCCCAAGAGCCACACACTGTTCATGCTCAACAGCCTGAAACAAATGCAGACATTATTTTTTTTCCTCCTTTCAGTTCATTTGGAGGGAAATGTAGATTGGAAGTGTCAAGACTGCTTTATGTTATTTTCCAGGACTGCCTGCTAAGTGGCTGTGGGGACCCCAGAAACAGAAGAGGCATTTGTATCAGTCTGACAGATTATTTTTCTCGAAACCTTCTCCTCATCCTGGGTTGTTTGTTTTTTTTTTTTTTAATCTTTTTGTGGTACTACTAAAAATTAGCACTGTTGCTGAATAAATTAAAAGCCCTACAAAAATGCAGGGTAAATCTTTACACCTTGAAAAGAGAAGCAATAGTGCATTCCTCCCTAGTACTTTGCCCTTCACTTGGTCTAGAACTAGAAAATACCTGCTGCAGTCATTTCTATGAACTGCATTTCTGGGTACCACTCACATTGACAAGATGCAACCACTCAAACAAGTTGTGCTGTCATTCCACCACAGAACTTAAAACTTTCAGGTGATGCCACAACCTGGTTCTCTGTAAGGCAGCTGCCTTGAGCAGAGCAGGCTTTCAGAGGTTTGTTTGCTCATTTAGCACTGAATGCAAGTCATACTTAATTCCACTGCAGGTAGGTGAGAGCTCTGGTTCTTTGCCACACCAGCAGGCACACAGGTGGAAACCAACACCAAAAACTTCCTGGATTGTGTGCCTGTGCTCATATATATACTAAATGACACCAAAAAGCACATGCACTTCAGACAGTATTTCAGGCTACCAAGAGAAACTTGTGATTCATGCTTGGTGATGGCAGAGCTTAAAACCATCCATCTCAAAACTACCCATCTCAAAAGCCCCTGCCAGTGCACTCTGAGCAGAACTGGCAGGTAACTCATCTACTTTTGGAAACAGAACTATTGGGACTCATCCAGCTGTTACAGTATTTCAAATAAGAATTACTTACTTAAAATGCCTCAGAAAGCAACACCTCAAAGCAACAATGGGCACCAGGCTTTCATTTTATTTAAATTTCTCTAAACTTTATGCTATTTACTCAAAAATTGGAACGCCAGTCCAGTGGTTTGACAAAAGCTCCATGGAGATGTCATATATCCTTCCCTTCTAGCCACTCTGGTATCTCCACCATTTCAGTACTGTAAGGACTGTACATCACTGCATACCTTTGTGTTTTCTTTCAGCTTCCACACAGGCTCCAGTCTCAAATAAAAGCCTGAGCCATTGGACTTCGTGCTGTCTCCAGCTCACTCCCAACCACTGCAGTATTTTCTTCACAAATAGCTGGCTACTAGAAAAATGATGTAAATCTTTCTCAGAGAGGCAATGAAAGAAACCACCTCTTTACTAGTGTGATGGCTTCCAAGAAATCACTTCTAAACACAGACAATGGTTTAAAAACTAGCACACGTTTCTGGCCTATGCAGCCAGTTTAGCTGTCTGGAACACTTCTTAATAAACCTCATATTGCCTGATTTAACTGATAGTTTTAGTCTACACTCTTTTAACAGCGCCTGATGGAGAGGAACATACTAAGCCCTTAAACAGTGTTTCCTTTTCTTTCTCCTCTTTGGTTTGGGAAGAGAAGAACATAAGAACTCCAACAGCTCGCTGGCCTATCCTGCACACATGAAACCACGCTGCCTCCTACTTGCACACAAAATAAAGAACACAGCAGGACCTTCACAAAGTGGAAGCTAGAGATGTTAGAGTTCCCATTTGAGCAGCCAGCACATCCTTTAGGAAAGCAAATACTGGCTTCAATGTTCCTAGCAGGGGACATAACCCTTGTGTCAGTTTAAGAGTGCCTCATTTCTCATCTAAACAGAACTTGCCACCTTTTTACAGTCCTTGCTGTTCCCAATTTCATAGCATCCCTTTTTGACTGACAGCAACAACGAGTGTTCCTGTAAAGTTTCACCAATGCCATTATAAAGTTAATATAAATTCCCCACTCCTACTAAAGATTTATTTTTGTACCTGTGAGCATTACAGTAGCCACACAGTGACATGTTAGGAAGTAGCATTCCAGCGATGATGCAGAATGATGCTCAGACTTTCAGCAGCACTTCTCCAGAACAGAGTCCTTCACCTGTGGCCTGAATATTATTTATTAGATGGGTAACACAGTACATGTTTGGCTCTATTAAAATGCAACTAGGTAACTTTCCCTTGGCATACCAAGTAATTCTGATGAGTCTGTATCAGCGAGCTACTGTTTCTTTCATCATTCACAAGTCTGCTCTCCCTAGAATGCACAACCTTTGTTAGAAGTGGATTTTGTTTCTTTTCAACCTATTAATAAGGCTAAGTAAAGCAAGGCCAAGATCTGGTTGCTGGAAAATCCTGATAGACGTATACTCAATTAAGCAGCATTTAAAATTCAACTGAGACCTATGAATTAGCCACATTTTAATCCATTTAATGTGTGCCATGTTGATTTTTGTATCGTTTTAGTTTTCAGTCAAAATATTATGCATTACCAGTCAAATGCCTTACACAGTCTAGGTATATATGACAACAAGATTACCTGTGTCAACCAGGCCTGTCACTTCAAACAAACATACCAAGTTTAAAGATTTATACTTATCTGCTCTGAATTCACATATCCACAGCAAAAGTAACAAACACTGGCCAGGCTCCTTACACAGGAAGGCACACCATTCAGCTTCAACGGACTCTCTTTTAATTCACTCATTTAGAGGCAATTGTCATTATTTTCTTGGGGGGCAGGGGAAGAAAACGCCAATGCACCACATTGTTTTCACTAGCCTGGAAAACACTTATATATATATAGATATATAGATATGTGTATATATATACACACATATGCATGTGTGTACATATATAGGTGTGTGTGTATATATGTATATATACACACTAGTGTATATATACACAGAATATACATATATGAATATACAGAATATATGCACACACACTTTGCTCAGATTTGTTTACAAAATATGTAGCATTTTTATACCATCCAATAAGAGGTACATGATTTTAAACAAATCTTATAGAAATGACATGTTATTGGAAATTTACACGTAAAAAAATCCAGCACAAAAAAATCCAAAAGCTAAAACAAGGTTTTGCTACTAATCAGTGCTTCTATCACCCTTCAAGAAAAGAGAAACACAGTTATTTATATGTGATGTAAAGGCAACATTGAGGGGTTTTCTTGCTCTTTTTTTCCTTTTTTTTTTTTTTTAAATTAACCACCAAATTTAACCCCCTAAAATTACAAAGAATCAAAGTCCATTTACAGATCAAGTGCAGTAAACTAAATGTTCCTTCAGCACAAAGCAGCACTAGAGAAAGTAAGTGGGAGAGGGAAGGTGGAGGCCAACTGGCTTAGCTAGGGAAGCAGCAGGTGGCTGCTGCAGTAGCCACACAGGTCAGAGTCTCCATCCTGAAGCACAGACAGAACTGAAGACTGTACTTAAATGATGGTCACATAGAGCTGATGTTCAGGCCTTTGCCTAGCTTCTTTCAGCAGTTTGACAAGTGATTTATGTTTTTATCATTCTGTATCCAATGGGCTGGTTTTGCTTTTGCAGTGACTTGTCACTGAGAGGAGCCAGAAGGAGGATCTTGCAGACAGTTCTGCCACTAACCTCTACCACAGGTACACGACACTGCAGTTGTTAGTGGTGATTTTGAAATGTTTACACTGGACAAATGTGGTTCCAAGCATTCAAAAGGGCTTGAAAGAACACAGCCCGATGCAGGGGGGAGCGGACGGCCTGGACAATCCATTGCATTAACAGAAATGGAACCGCCACTTTCAATCACATGGCATCTCTCCAGTTGCACGCAGATTCTGGTGCCAATCTCAGCTGAAGTCAGTGAGGAGTGGCTGGCCTTCGCATCAGATGTCTGTGATCCAAGCGGGTCGCAGAGCCAAGAACATGCTGCTAGCAGAATGGCAGTCTACAGCTGCAGATGACAGCTGTCATGCAGTCAGCGATGCCTT